ATGTCACAGGAAAATAAATTCTCAAATTCTTGTCATTTGTCAGGCTTTGTTCTGCTGTTCTTCTACCACTAGGTGGTGATGCTCTACAACTAGTAAGAAGCAGCATGTTGTATGTGGAGCCTAAAGGCTCATGTACACTGCAGCTGCAAAACTGAAGTTTAGGAGCAGCTGTGTGTTTTTTTTCCAGCAGCCCCTGAACTTTCCTTTATGTTTTCCTGTGTCCATGTACACATAGTCGTTTACAGTAGTTTACAGGCAGTTGAGGTTACAGGCATTTTTTTGAAAGCACAAAAATCGCGTTCAGGAGTAGAGTTTACCGGCGTTTCAAACGCCAACCGCTTGTAAACGCGTGTAAACGCATTTATGCGCGTTTGCTTTTAGATGCATTTTTGGACTGGTCCATATCCAGATGCTGTCCAGTGGCTTTTTGTGTCATCAAAAACGCACGCATAGCGTTTTCCGTGTATTCAAATGGACCTAGTGCACCAGGGCAGTCAGTTCTAGGTTTCATGTGAAGGAAAAAATGGTAGACTGTGCTGCATTATGCTCATGATGGGATCCATAGTGAATACAACCAGAAAAGACAGGTAATCTCAACACATACTGCTCTCTCTGCTTCTGCTCTCTCTATTTCTCACAAAATGTCTGAAACAGTTAATTATTTACTATTTTTCAGTGCATTCTGGGCATTTGGGAGGGGCTCCTGAGGTTATCTTTTAAAACCGCTTCTAAACATAAACGCAGCTAAACGCACATAAACGTGGTAGGTAAAAGCAGCTAAACTGACGTTTTTGACCTAAGTTTTCTAGCGATCAGTTTCCAGCGGTCAGAAAAGATTTTCAAACACCCCATGTACATGAGCCCTAACTATAAAAACAAGATGCCTTTGGCTTGAACAGGCTTCACAATCACAAATAATGCCCCTAGCTCAGTAAAAATGAATTTCCTTCTATACGGGCGTACCTTGGTTTACAAACTCCTCGGGTTAACAATATTTGGTTTACGAAAGAAAGTCCATTGAAAATAATGGCTCGGTTTACACATTTTTTTCACAATACAAATGGATTAAATTGGTTTTCAATGCATTTACAAATTTTTTATTAATCATGTCCCTGTATAGTATTTATGCCTTTAAAGTGCACTTTATAAAGAGTTTTGAACAGATAATACTTTTTTTTTTACTTTTTTCTGACCTCTGGAACAAATCAATTGGTTTTCAATGTATTTGTTTTTTTTTTTTTAATCATGTCCCTTTATGCCTTTAAAGTTCACTTTATAAAGAGTTTTGAACAGATAAAACTTTTGACTTTTTTCTGACCTCCGAAACGGATTGATTGGTTTTCAATGCATTTACGAATTAATTTTTAATCATGTCCCTGTACAGTATTTATGCATTTAAATTGCACATTATAAAGAGTTTTGAACAGATAAAATACTTTTTTTTACTTTTTTCTGAATGGATTAATTGGTTTTCAATGCATTCCTATGGGAATCCGCGTTTCAGTTTACAAATTTTTCACAATACGAAAAGTCCTGCAGAACAAATTAAATTCGTAAACTGAGGTACGCTTGTATTTTAGAAATCGGTGAGTCAAGTGACTCTTAGCTGCTAATGTTATCTGGAAAACACTACAATGCCCAAGTTCACTCAGTTTACCTTAATCTGAGTTCTCTGTATCTCACTTTAGCAAGAAGCCAGAGGAGACCTCACATGGTCACTAACTGGGCACTTCTTTAAACTTGAGAATTTTGACTTCCTCACTGCACTCCAAGCCTATCAGCTTCTGAGGGCTTTATTTGCTATTCTGCATATCATTGTTGGAACTTTGAAAGATGTACAGAGTAACTGTAAAGACAACCACATTCCAAAATTCCCAGTCCATGCCACCTCACCAAATCTTCCTTAAAGTCTTTCAAGTCGATCCTGCAGTTCCTGTAAGGAGCATGTGTCTGCTTACAGGCCATTCTTTTGACTAAACAACAAAAATGTGGTTCTTTTTCAGCAGAATTTGTTTTAACCCCCCACACCACCACCACCATACCCTGATTCACTGTTTTGCCTAATTGTCTCCCAAGCTATAATTCATAGGAGCCATGGTTTCCATATTGTGCACTCATAAGGGATAATAAGCCTTAAACTACAGTATGCAAGTTGCAGAAAAAGGCTCCATGATTTCAGGTGGAATAAAATCTGGATGCACAGTTACTACTGTATATAATGTGAGAAATATGTGATTTTTTTATATACATGAAAAGGAGATCAGTTATATCTAATCTTAAAGTGCCCCTGTCATTACATTTCTGGGTGTGTGAATACCTGCCCCTTGCATGTTCTGCCTGTGCTTGTGTGTGCGTTTCTTCCCACACTCCAAATACATGATAGTAGGTTCATTGGCTCCTGTCTCAATAGGCCCTAGTATGTGTGTGAGATTGGAAGCTCTTTGAGAGCAGGGACTGATGTGAATATAAATTTACCATGCTTTATGAATGCCTTTAGCAATCTTCTTTTATGGCTTTAAATTCTCTAGTGACAGGGTAGTGTTAATGTTAATACATCATGTTTCTATGAATAATTTGCAGATATAGATTACATGGGAGTAGCCATATCTGTGTGTGTTTCCTCCAGGTACTCCAGTTTCCTCCCACGCTCCAAAGACATGCTGGTAGGTTAATTGGATCCTGTCTAAATTGGCCCTATTATGTATATGTATAAAAGCAAGTTGGGGACCTTAGACTGTATGCTTCTTGAGGGTTAGGGACTGATGTGAATGTACAATATATATATGTGTAAAGCGCTGCGTAAATTGACGGCGCTATATAAGTACCTGAACTAAATAAATAAATAAAATAAATATATGCTCATTACATATTAAATCTCTGCTTTCTGCTATATGGTGTAGTATGACACAGTAGTTGTGCTTTACTACTTATTCTGAAGAACAAGTTTATGGGTGGATAAATAAAGAAGCAGAATGTTTACTGAGCTCACTAATGTGTTCACTTTAAGCAAACTGTAATCACTTGCAGGGGAATTGTTTTCCTTGGTTACTGAATAGAGTGAGGGAAATGAATACAGTGTCATTGGACTAAGTGGCTATTGGCTCAGGTGACAAAATGGTCACTTCCAAATTAAGCGAGATCAGGGCAGACTGAAGAAAAAAATTTCCGCACGATGTTGCCATTTCCATCTAGATTAGCTACAATTGATATAACACTGGTCAGAAGATGTCTCATTGGATCAGCCAGTATTCTGGGTTCAGTATACCTTCAATGTTGGTATCCAAGAAATATCATACAGAATTACAAAACCACCACGTGCACACCACATGCACACAGCCCATAAGAAGGATAGTCAGTGACACAGACATGCAGGATTAATAAACTCCAACCATCACACGCACATCCAACTACTCCAGAAGGCACCATGCCATACTGTATTTGTCACTTTAAAGGGTATATAAACCGTAAATCTATTTGTCAGTACGTCTGGCATCACTCCTCACTGTGTGGTCTGCCTGTTAGGTCTATCAGATAGGCAGCTCAACCTTCAACTAAAGGAGCACGCATGGCTGGTAGACAAATGCAAATCTTAAAAGCTGAACTTTGCATATAAGTTCATCTGTCTTTACATATCAGGATCTATTTGTTATTACATGGAGCTGTTTGGTTTAAAACAGGTTTAAAGGGGAAATGGAACTCTAAAAATATTCCTTATTTATAAATGACACTTTATTTAGAACAGGTGGAGAGGCTAAGTGTTAGCTGTTTTGTAGTGAGTACAACAATGAGACTTGAACCTTCGCTACCTGGTGGCCTCTACATGCAGCTCAGGTCACACTGTGGCCCACACCTGCCCTCATCAAAAACACTTAAATGGACTTCAGCACATTCAGTTTGTGCCTGTACCAGGGCCCTGTCTAATACCCATCTGGTCACTTTACTTGTGGCAGTAGCACTGTAACAGAAGTTCTAACCTTCTACCACTCTTTCAAAAACTATGAAAATGTTTTGGTTCTAGTTAGGTTTTATGATGCAGGGAAAGCCACAAACCTTCTGGACTCTGACAATACTCCACATTCTGATGTTACTGTACTATAATCACACAAGAAATGCCACCGCTTCTGTCTATTCACAAAGGAAGAATATAAGTTAGCAGAATTAAGCACTACCACCCGACTGATCAGCACTGAGACTGACAGAGGCACTTGGCAATTAGCAGCAGGAGGGCTCTTGTCATTAATCTTATGTAATGAAATATTCCCTGAACAGTGCCATTAAGCACTTATAATTGCCAGTTACTGTAGTGTCAAGGGGTGGATATGTGTTTCTCATGTTTAAGGTGCCCACACATGCTACAATCTGATTTTGAGATTCTGTTTTGATCAATTTTTTTATCTTAATTCTTAAAAAACATAATCTTCTGGACATATTTTTTCATGTAAATAGAAGAGGAAGACGTATGGTACCAGAAGAAAGTTGAGTGAGGAAAGCAGTAAACCAACAGCACTTGAAGTAAACACACAACAAAGGCCTACAGCCATGGCACTGGCTCTTCCCCCACTTCTATGCAAATATAAGCAAAGCGTGACAGATTGCACAGCACTAAGGCCACGTGACAGTGGATGACCCCATTGGCCTGAGTGCCAACAGTTCAAACAGTATAGAAATGCCTGCATGCGGTCATTATTTACAAACTCATGAAGGATGTGGAGGGGCCAGGAGGGGGGAGCCACACAGTCTTCCACTGCACTGACTACATCCAAACAAGCTGTGAACGTCAAGGAAAAGGGAGTACCCACAATGCAACAGTGACAAGGCCACATCACCAGGAAAGAGAAGGTGTTGCTGGGTTAGTCCCTAGAGGGATCATGCGACTGCTGTGACACTCAGGTCATACATACGGGTGCTGTCCTAGGCATTGTCAGGGCAGATGGGCCGACAGTAGGTAGAGAGACCCTCACAGACAAAGAGTGACATGCAGTTACCTGAGGTTTCTTCACCTTAATGATCCAGCTAGGAGGGATGATGACAGCAGCATGGGCACCCAGAGAGCATGGTTCTTCTATGTGATGGAGCAGAAAACACGTCACCTTGTTGTGAAACTAAAGAAGAAAAGAGCAGTGAGTACAACACAAAAATAAAAATCAGCTTCCATATTAACTAACTACAGCTTCATTGTAATACTGCTTATAATACTGCATCATACATGGCAAATTGTACTCAGTGTATCCCCATTTGAAACACTTCCCATTACTTCCTGTCCCTAGGATCACACAGGAAGTGAGGGCAAATCTCATAAAGTGCCCGTCGATTGACAACTCAGTTCTGAGCACTGCATTCTGGAAAGAGGTCTACTTCTCCACCTTATCTGAAAGCAGCTGGCATTTACAATGGCTTCAACTGAATAACTGAGTGGTAGGGAAACATGGGCAAGGTGAGTATAAGTGAGTTGGGGGTCTGATTGCCATAAGACTCCCTCCCTTTGCCTTGAAGAGTCTCTTTGAAGCTGAACTACAGGCAGATGCAAGCAGTATAAGTACCCGAATCAGACTTGGTATCAGCCTCTTGCACTTTCCTGTACAGCAGATCTCAGACTGGGGGAAGGAGTAGTATCACAGGAAGCTAGACAAATAATGTGCCAACAAGGGGCACATGGACAGGAGGAGTTGCAAGGCAACAGAAAGATGAGCTCATCAATCTGCTGCTTCATTTTTTACTGTTTAGTCCCAAGCTGGGGAGGATAAAGAACTGAATAATCAGACCTCCTGCACTGCCAAACAGGAACATGCTGTGTGACAGAGCTGTGTAAATCTCAGATTTGGATGGACAGAAATGCAAATATTTTGGCAGGTAAAACAGCTCCCTTCTAATTATTTCATCTGTGTGTTCAACTTTAAACAAAAACACAACAAACACATAAGCCAGCAGGAATAAAGTGTTGGCATAATGACGAGGAACATCTTTGTACATATTTGTACAGAAAGTGGCAGCCCTCGTATTCTATATATAGAGGGAGGAGGTGCACTGTGACTTTGCGCAATGTTTTTTTCTCAGGAACAGAGGACCGCAGTAAACAGCGATGTAATTACAACACACAAGGGCTGTGTGGGTATTCTGTGGGTTTTCTATGAGTAATAGCTGACTGGAGAACAGAGTGAGACTATCATTACACGGCATGGCCCATGTTAATTCCAGGTTACAGTCATTGCTCCCTCTGCGCAGCGTCTGGAAGACAGATGCTTTAAGTGCGTTCTTTTCTTGTGCAGACATGATACTAATAATTCGGCGGAAGTGTTTTCATACCTTTCCAAGGCCAACTTCAACTACTTCTGTTTATAGGTTAAAGCTGAACTTCAGGATAAGCCAAGATTGTTTAACTACAAGAGGCATACGTATTCTTATTTTAATCGTGGTGTGCTTTGTGTATTTCTTCCAGATCTGTGCAGTAATCCAGTATGAAACGTTGCCTCTGTAGGAGCTTCCTGTAATAAAGACTACTGCTCTCTCTCCTTGTGCAGGGTGACTAGTCTTGGATAAATATGTGTGCAGCACTTATGAAATTTACTATACAGATCAAACACAAATAAAAATGGCAACACAGTCCAAAGCCCAAGGCATTTTGTCAAATATACCATCATTAGGGGGTCAATGATGTAGAAACGCACTGAGCGGAGCCGGAAGCCTTGGCGTCACTGTGAATGTGTGCACACTGCCGAGGATTTTGGAAATTGTAGTATTAATGTGAATTTTTATATACAGTGTCTATGTAAGTGTTTCTAACTGATTTTAATAAAAGTGTCTTTAAATTTATACTATTGGGAACGGTATATTGGCTCTTTTTCATGTCTTATGCCCTGACTCTGAAATGGAGATGAAAACCGTTCTGTGACCTGCTGAGTCCTGTGGTGGTTATTTGCAATAATGGCACAAGCGCTTTTTGACTTCTCATGTGAGAGGCACACCCTCTCTGGTAAGCCTCAGAGTCGTCATTGGAGGACATGTGGTGTTATACATATGTTTATGGACTAGTGGAGAAGATCACATCATTATTGTACTATGTGCTGTATTTTATTGGTTCCCTATGCATACCCTGGTGGAAGCTGTGAAACTTGATTACTTCCACTGAAGACACTTTGGACTCTTTGGGGGGGATTTACTAAAGCTGGTTCGCTCAGAATCTGATGCAGCTGTGCATGGTAGCCAATCAGCTTCTAAACTCAGCTTATTAAATTAAGCTTTGGCAATAAAACCTGGATGCTGATTGATTTCTATGCTGAAGTGTACCTGATTTTGCACTCTTCAGCTTTAGTAAATAAACCCTTTGGTTACCATTTTGATTTATTTTGATTTGTTTTCAGTATAGCATATTTCTTAAGAGCACATAAAGCCGGTAAAATAAGTATTGAACACGGCCCCCTTTTTCTAGGTAAATATATTCCTAAAGGTGCTATTGACATGACATTTTCACCAAACCCTTTTTTGGTAATGACAGCTTCAAGATGCCTCCTGTATGGAGAAACTAGTCGCATGTACTGCTCAGGTGTGATTTTGGTCAAGTCTTCCAAACCATTAGTCTTCAAATCTTGAAGGTTCTGTGGGCCTATTCTATAAACTCTGATGTTTAGTTCTTTCCATAGATTTTTTATTGAATTCAAGTCAGGTGATTGGCTGGGCCATTCTAGAAGCTTTATTTTCTCTTTCTTTTTAACCAGTTGAGAGTTTCCTTGGCTTTTCCTTTGGGATCATTGTCTTACTGAAATGTCCACCCTTGTTTCATCTTCATCATCCTGGTAGATAGATGGCAGCAGGTTTTTATCAAGAGTGTCTTGGTACATTTTTCAATTCATCCTTCCTTCAATGACATGAAGTTTGCCAGTACTGTATGCTGAAAAACAGACCCACATCAGGACATTCTCACCTCCAAACTTCACTGTTGGTATGGTGTTTTTGGGGTCATGGCGGTTGAGTGCATTACTTATTGTTTTCTTTGAAACAATTGTACCTGCTAATTCTGGGTCTTTCTGAAGCTCTTTATAAGTGGTTCTTGGCTCTTGGAAAACTCTTCTGATAATTATTTTCACTCCTCTGTTGGAAATCTTGCGAGGAACATGTGGTTGTTGACATTTTATGGTGAAATTATGTTCTTTCCACTTCTGGATTATGGCCCCAACAGTGCTCATTGGATCATTCAAAAGTTTAGAAATCCTTCTGTAACCAATTCCATCAGTATATTTTGCAACAATAGGGTTGCAAAAGTCTTGAGAGATCTCTTTGCTTTTACTCATCATGAGATGTTTCTTGTGTGACACCTTAGTAATGAGGCACCTTTTCTTAGGCCATCAGTTGAGACTGAACCAGCTGAGATTAATTTGCACTTCTTTCTTTCTCTCTCTCTCTCTTTCTTCCTTCCTTCCTTTCTCCCTCTCTCTCTCTTCTCTTGTATTTCAGCATTACAATTCAGTTTCTCTTGTCTTCTTTCTGTTTTCCAATCACTCTATCATCACATATACACACCTGATTTTTTTGTCATGGCCAATGATACATATATTATTCCTGGCTTCTCACATCCTCACTACCTCTGTGACCAAGCCCCGGTGGGCAGGGCGAAATGTGTCAGAGTGGGTGGCCATAATGGCAGATGAGGCCATTCTTCAACATTGGACTCCTGGGGTCAGTTGAGCAGCATCCATCCCTTCACATTAATTTTCTCTAACAAGGGGCAGGATTGCTTTCTAATTACTGATAGATTTCAGCTGGTGTCTTGGCTTTCCATGCCTTTTTGCATCTCTCTTTCTTCTTGTGTTTAATTTTTGTTCCCTAGGTCATTCCAATTTATTACACAAAACCTAATTTCTGAACTTATTTGTTTTGGGTTTTTGTATGTATGGATTGCATGGGTTGTTACCGACATGTGGTGAAAATTTTATGTCAATAGTACCTTTAGAAATATATTTACCTAGAAAAATGGTGACGTGTTCAACACTTATTTTACTTTATTTTATATATACAGTATATATGGACCAGTTCCTGTGGCTTGTCTCTTCCCATTTAAATTGACTGCCTAATAACCAAAAGTGTGTATATATATATATATATATATATATATATATATATATATATATATATATACAGTTGCAAGAAAAAGTATGTGAACCCCTTGGGATTACATGGAGTTTTGCATGAATTGGGCATAAAATGTGCTCTGAACGTCATCTAAGTCACAACAATAGAAGAACACAGTCTGCTGAACATAATACTACACAAACATTAGATGTTGCCATGGTTTAATTGCACATAACATGTAAACATTCACAGTGCAGGGAGGAAAAAGTATGTGAACCTTTGGACTTAATAACTGGTTGACCCTCCTTTGGCAGCAATAACCTCAACCAAACGTTTCCTGTAGTTGCAGATCAGACCTGCACAACGATCTGGAGTAATTTTGGACCACTCCTCTTCACAAAACTGTTTCAGTGTAGCAATATTCTTGGGATGTCTGGTGTGAATCTCTCTCTTAAGGTCATGTCACAGCATTTCAATTGGGTTGAGGTCAGGACTCTGACTGGGCCACTCCAGAAGGCGTATTCTGTGCTGTTGCAGCCATTGTTTTGTTGAATTACTTGTATGCTTTGGGTCATTGTCCTGTTGCATCACCTATCCTCTGCGGAGCTTCAGTTGGCAGACAGATGGTCGTACATTTTCCTGCAAAATGTCTTGATAAACTCTGGAATTCATTTTCCCATCAATGACAACAATCCGTCCAGGCCCTGAGGCAGCAAAGCAGCCCCAAACCATGATGCTCCCTCCGCAATGTTTTACAGTGGGGATGAGGTTTTGATGTTGGTGTGCTGTGCCTTTTTTTCTCCACACATAGTGTTGTGTGTTCTTCCCCCAAACAACTCAATCTTGGTTTCATCTGTCCACAGCATATTTTGCCAGTAGTACTGTGGAACATCCAGGTGCTCTTTTGCAAACTTCCAACGTGCTGCAATATTCTTTTTGGACAGCAATGGCTTCCTCCGTGGTGTCCTCCCATGTACTCCATTCTTGTTTAATGTTTTCCTTATTGTAGATGTGTCAACAAAAAAGTTAGCATGTGCCAGAGATTTCTGTAGGTCTTTAGCTGACACTCTGGGATTCTTCTTTACCTCATGCAGCATTCTGCGCTGTGCTCTTGCAGTCATTTTTACAGGACGACCACGCCTAGGGAGAGTAGCAACAGTGCTAAACTTTCTCCATTTGTAGACAGTCTGTCTTACCGTGGACACATGAACATCAAGGCTTTTGGAGATACTTTTGTAACCCTTTCCAGCTTCATGCAAGTCAACAATTATTGATCGTAGGTCTTCTGAGAGCTCTTTTCTGCGAGGCATGGTTCACATCAGACAGTGCTTCTTGAAACCAGTAAACCCAAAACAGGTGTGTGTTTTTTTAAGGGCAGGACAGCTGTCAGCAACACATCCAATATCATCACACTGATTGGAGTCAAGGTTGGCTCACTCCTGGCTCCAATTAGCTCTGGGAGAAGTCATTAAGCTAGGGCCTCACATACTTTTTCCTCCTCCCTGCAGTGTGAATGTTTACATGTTATGTGCAATTAAACCATGGCAACATCTAATGTTTGTGTAGTATTATGTTCAGCAGACTGTGTTCTTCTATTGTTGTGACTTAGATGACATTCAGAGCACATTTTATGCCCAATTCATGCAAAACAAGGGGTTCACATACTTTTTCTTGCAACTGTATATATATTATATCCATTCTGCTATATAGTGTATCATATTTTGTGCTGGGTGATGATTGTCATTACTGTTTACCTGTCACTACTTTTACAAGGTAATAGGTGTTTTCTCCAAAGGCATTTGGTGCACATAGAAAAGGATTTATACCTTTTGTGGCTATGGAGGAATACAATTAAATTAAAATTGTAATTGTCTGTAGTTCACCTTTATATTGGAACTCCAGGCAAACAGAATAAAACCGTTTAGTCCAGATGTGTACTCATTTAGACAGCACTGTATGTATTTTTGAATACTACTAGCAGAACATCTGAGATATTGTTTGAGATATCCCTTTGTATCATCTTCCCACAATCCTAGTACAGCAGCAATCATTCAGAATGAGAAGATTATTGCTGTAATCCAATGAGGCTCTAATGCATGGTGCAAAGCTGCCAATATAACATGTTTCAGGCACTGGAGGATGGAGGGAGACTAAAAAAAAAGAGTAGAGCACAAGAAGAACCAGTGTGCTAATGCTTGTTCATAGCCCAATAAACAGAAATAGCTGCAGACCCCACATTACTCTTATGTACTACATGGCCAAAGGTTTGTAAACACCTGACCATCACACCTATATAAGTTTATAATCAACACATATTAAAACCAATAAAATTCACGTGGAGTTGCCTCCACTTTTCAGGTTTAATAACCTCTACTCTTCTGGGCGTTACAGAAGTCGTTGGAGTGTGTCACGGGCAATTTGTGGCCATTCAGCCAAAAGAACTGTTGTGAGGTCAGGGACTGATGTTGGATGAGTAAACCTGGCTTGCAATCGGGGGTCCAATTCATTCCAAATGTGTTCAGCAGGACAGGCCAGCTGGCTGTGTACACAGGACACAGTCACGCTGGAACAGAAAATGGCCTAAAATGTCTTTAAATGCTGTTACATTGACAGTACCCTTCATTGGAAACACCTGAACTCAGTATGTTGGAAGAGTGTCCACATACTTTTGGCCATATAGATATGATAGTCAGGTGTGGAAAAACTTTCTTTCTCCTGCGTTTAGCTGCTGGCTGGAGTTCCACTTATTTAGGTTTTTAAAATACAGCCCAGAATCTAACACTTCACATCAACAGTTGCTGGTCCTTTTTTCTATGTTTAGACCTAAACATAGGGTGCATGTACAAAAGGGGTTAGATCTCCTAACCTTAATATCCAGTGTTGTGAATACCTCTCATTGATCAAGCTGACCTGCTTCAGTGAGGCTGTTCACATGCACCAGAGCACCCCTAGGAAAAGCAGGTCCCTAGAAAAAGTTTAAATATTTAAGAAGCAGCAAGGGCCCCGCAACAATGGCCATAAAGTCCAAAATGTTTTTTTCACCACTTGCTTCCAAAGCCTAATCTGACACTACTCTTCTTCTATGTAACAATCAGCTTTTTGCTTGCTAGAAAATTACTTAGAACCCCCAAATATTATATATTTTTTGCGCAGAAGCCCTAGAGAATAAAATGGTGGGTGTTATAATTATTTATGTCACTTGGTATTTGCGCAGTGGTTTTTTAAATGCAATTAAAAAAAAAATAAATTTTAACCACTTGCCCTCCGGAAACTTTTTTCCCCCTTCCTGAGCAGGCCTTTTTTTTGCTTTTTACCACTGCGCTACTTTAACTGACAATTGTGCAGGTAAGATAAAAACCTTTATTTATTTTACACAGTTGTGAAGACCAGTTGTGTAAGGATAAAATGTAAACTTTAAAATAAGCACTGTTAAGGCTATAACTTACCGCCTGCTTACACCATGAACAGCTGATAGCCACAATTTTCTTTACTGTGGAATGAGAACTTCTGTTGAAAACCCTGCAGATAAAGGAAAGAGAGACAAGCTTTAGTAGACTGACTCAATACCTGACATAGGAAAGGAGCTCTGAGGTTGTGGCTGTAGTCTATTAAAAGTAAACTGTCTCAACTCTCAACAAGAAATTTGCTTTAGTTATTTATGAGCAGGGTGGATAAAAATCAATGATTTTTTTAAAAAAATAAAAAAAAAAATCGGATTTTTTTTATTTAAATCGGACTTTCTTGATTTAAATCGGATTTTTTTTAATAAAATGCTTTTTGAGGAAAATATATTACCATCCAAAGGTTATTCCATCATGAAATAAAGATTAGTTTTTTAATTATGTAGAATAAGGCTGTATATGTTAATTTTTTTGGTAAATAAATTCCATTAATCCATTCACAATGTCATGCTCTTCCAGAGGTTTTTGTAAGATTATTGGGCAGTTTCTCTGCCTACAAGATATTATCACAGATGCTTGGTTTACTTTGCAGTTATCAAAACTGAATTTGACTCAGCGGACATCACATGCCTCTTCTTCACAGCAAAAATGTTATAACATGAACAGAGTTAAGAAAAAGACCTTAATCCTAACTTCTACAAACCTATGAATACAGAATCAACCCCTTCAGTGCTAAGTTTCAAGAAGTTCAGTGAATAGAATAGAAACAATATTTTTGTGATTGTTTGGAGTGGAATAGATCTGCACAAGAAGAAAGTGAAACTAAGTGTGAGGAGGAAGGGGCTGGCAGTCTAATGCAGGCCATAGATGGGTCGAAAATCGGCCGATTTTTTGGCCAAAAATAAAATCGGCCGATTTTCGGATCGTTAGCGGGCTAATGTTCGGCCGTTTTTCAGTATTTTGGCAGATTTTTTTTATCGGTAAAGTTGGAAAAAAATTGGCCGATTTTGCCGATCGGCCGATTTTTGCGGCAATGATGGGCAAATCAGCCAATCTTTTACCGATAAAAAAAATCTGCGCATGAGCAGTGACCTGCAAGAGGAAGACAAAAAGAAGAAGAAAAAAAGAAGAAGAGGATGAAGAAGAGGAAGAAGAAGATGAAGAAGATGAAGAAGATGAAGAAGAGGAAGATGAAGAAGAGGAAGAAGAAGATGAAGAAGAGGAAGAAGAAGAAGAAGAAGAAGAAGATGATGATGAAGAAGAAGAGGATGAAGAAGCAGAGGATGATGAAGAGGAAGAGGATGAAGAAGCAGAAGAGGATGAAGAAGCAGAAGAGGCAGAAGAAGAAGAGGATGAAGAGGCAGAAGAAGAAGAGGATGAAGAAGCAGAAGAAGAATAGGATGAAGAAGAAGAAGAAGAGGATGAAAAAGAAGAAGAGGATGAAGAAGAAGAAGAAGAGGAGGATGAAGAAGAGAGAAGAGAAGAGGATGAAGAAGAAGAAGAGGATGAAGAAGAAGAGATGAAGAGGAAGATGAAGAAGAGAATGAAGAAGAGGATGAAGAAGAAGAAGAAAATGAAGAAGAAGAAGAGGATGAAGAATAAGGATAAGAAGAGGATGAAGAAGAAGAAGAGGATGAAGAAGAAGAAGAGGATGAAGAGGAAGAAGAAGAAGAAGAAGAAGAAGAGGATGAAGAAGATGAAGAAGAGGATGAAGAAGAAGAGGATGAAGAAGAAGAAGAAGAAGAGGATGAAGAAGAAGAGGATGAAGAAGAAGAAGAGGATGAAGAAGAAGAAGAGGATGAAGAAGAAGAGGATGAAGAAGAGGATGAAGAAGAGGATGAAGAAGAAGAAGATGAAGAAGAGGATGAAGAAGAAGAAGAGGATGAAGAAGAAGAAGAAGTAGAAGAAGAGGATGAAGAAGAAGAAGAAGAGGATGAAGAAGAAGAAGAGGAAGAAGAGGATGAAAAAAGAAGAGGAAGATGAAGAAGAGAAGAAGAAGAGGATGAAGAAGAAGAAAGAAGAGGAAGATGAAGAAGAAGAAGAAGAAGATGAAAGAAGAAGAAGAAGAAGAAGAAGAGATGATGATAAGAAGAAGAAGAAGAAGAAGAAGAGGATGATGAAAAAAGAAGAAGAGGATGAAGAAGAAGAAGAGATGAAGAAGAGGATGAAGAAGAAAGATGAAGAAGAGATGAAGAAGAAGAAGAGGAAGAAGAAGAAGAAGAAAGAAGAGGATGAAGAAGAAGAAGAGAAGAAGAAAGAAGAAGAGGAAGAAGAGGATGAAAAAGAAGAGGAAGATGAAGAAGAGGAAGATGAAGAAGAAAGAAGAGGATGAAGAAGAAGATCAAAAAGAGGAAGATGAAGAAGAAGAGGATGAAAAAGAAGAAGAAGAAGAAGAGGATGATGAAGAAGAAGAAGAAGATGAAGAAGAAGAAGAGGATGATGAAAAAGAAGAAGAGGATGAAGAAGAAGACGATGAAGAAGAGGATGAAGAAGAAGAGGATGAAGCAGAAGAGGAGGAAGAAGAAGAATAGGAAGAAGAAGAATAGGAATAAGGAGAGGATGAAGAAGAGGATGAAGAAGAGGAAGAAGAAGAGAGAGAAGAAGAGGAATTCCAGTCCGGCAAAAAGCATCCCTGCAGAGAGCTTCGCTATTTCTTCTGACAGTTCCTTGACATTTATAGCGGTTGCAACAATGTATTTATTTGTTTCCGAATAAAAACATCTGTATCCTAAATGGATACAAATAGATACATTGTTGCAACCGCTATAAATGTCAAGGAACGGTCAAAGAAATAGCGGAGCTCTCTGCAGGGACACTTTTTGCCGGCTGTAGACGGGATGAAAATCGGCCGATTTTTTTTTACCGTTGCTGGTAACGTCAGCCACTTGAACGACCGATTTTTCATTTTTTTAAAGAAAATTGGCCAGTTTTCGACCCGTCTATGGCCTGCATTAGTTTCTTAAAATATATATATTTTGTTTAGCCAAATTAGTTAACAAACATGGATGTTTGTTTAAGCAAATAACATATGCTGTAATGTTATTGTTTCAGTTGAATAAATCTATTTAAATTGTTATTATTAAGGTAATGATTATTTTTCTCCTTCCTAAGTACAACAGAAAAGTTGTCCAAATATGAATGATTAACCTATTAAACTGGGGATAAAAAAACTAATATGAAAAGTTGTTATTCTAAAAATCTTCATCTACTTGCATATTAAAGTTATACCAGCAAGAATTAGTCTTTATGTAGAAAACTATGATTTAAATCAAGCCTTACTGACTAGTGATTTAAATTGTGATTTAAATCAGTTTGATTTAAATAAAATCCACCCTGTTTATGAGCAAGGTATACCTTCATATCAACTTTAATTAAACTGTCCTGTCGCTTTCTCCAGTGTTCAATCAATCAAGAAGAGATCAATCAATCAATTAGAGATACATTTCTTATTAGTGCCAAGGCCTCATTCAGCGTTTATAGCCTTTTCTGATACAAAACCTCTTCAGCACTGGCCAATCCCCATTGACTTGAAAAGAGCCATATTATGATACTGGAGGTGTAGTGGCGGCATGATTGCTTTGAAAGTGCTTGGTTCACCTGCCTGCTTAACAGACTATGAAAGGGCATCATTATGCAGTAGAAGTTGTTTTCACTTTTTGCTGCGCCTATAAAAAGAGCCTGCTAAATAATTGCTTGTATAAGTGCAGGCACCACATACCAGCAGCAAGGTCCAAAACCTTGCCATTACAGCTGAATCCTAGTTTATTCCTGTTAATGCCATAGCTTGCCTGACCCATAATATCTCCTGTACATTCCTATTGTCTAATCCAACCCATCATAGTAATGGGCCAGTAAGAATGTGGGTGTGGGGGAAGAAAGGGCAGGAGGTAGTGGCATGCTCTGACACTATCCAGAAGTGTTGAAGATCTGCCTATCAGAACGTCCCAGAGACTAGCCACAACAGGGACATTTGGAAGGCTGTTGAAGGTATGTGCACCTCTAGGTGCCTTCACTTTATACCTGCAGAAGTTTACTCTTTCTGATAGAGTCTCTGTTACTACAACTCCCCACAAGATCACAGTGACTGAAACATGTAATGTTGGCAACACTGTGCAATGCAATTGTGCCCAATAGCATTTATTTATTACACGTATTTACATATAGTGCCAACAGTTCACCCAACACTTTACATATGTATTATACATTCACATCAATCTAAGGTTCCTAACTCACATTTATACATACACTATATTGCCAAAAGTATTGGGATGCCTGCCTTTACACGCACATGAGCTTTAATGGCATCCCAATCTTAGCCTGTAGGGTTCAATATTGAGTTGGCCCACCCTTTGCAGCTAAAACAGGCCAGTAAAGTTCCTTCATCCCAAACTCATCCATGTCTTTATGGACCTTGCTTTTTACACTGGTGCGCAGCCATGTTGGAACAGAAAGGGGCCATCCCGAAACTGTTCCCACAAAGTTAGGAGCATGAAATTGTCCAAGATGTCTTGGTATGCTGACGCCTTAAGAGTTCCTTTCAGTGGGACTAGGGGGCCAAGCCCAACCCCTGAAAAACAACCCCACACCATAATCCCCCCTCCACCAAACATTACAATTGGCACAATGCAGTCAGACAAGTACCATTCCCCTGGCAACCGCCAAACCCAGGAATGTCCAATAAGATTGCCAGACAGAGAAGTGTAATTTGTCACTCTAGAGAACATGTCTCCACTGCTCTAGAGTCCAGTGGCATCCTGCTTTACACCACTGCATTCAACGCTTTGCATTGCACTTGCTCATGTAAGGCTTGGATGCAGCTGCTCGGCCATGGAAACCCATTCCATGAAGGTCTCTATGCACTGTTGTTGTGCTAATCTGAAGGCCACACAAAGTTTGAAGGTCATTAGCTATTGACTCTGCAGACAGTTGGTGACTTCTGCGCACTGTGTGCTTTAGCATGAGCTGACCCCGCTCTGTCATTTTACGTGACCTACCACTTCGTGGCTGAGTTGCTGTTGTTCCCAGTTTCTTCCACTTTGTTATAGTACCACTAACAGTTGATCGTGGAATATTTAGTAGCAAGGAAATTTCACAGATGGATTTATTGCACAGGTGGTA